AAATAAATAAAAACCTTAAAAAAAAAATCAAAAAAAAAAAGTTAAAAAAAAAATTACCCACTTACGTAAGTCATATAAGATCTTCTTATGTTTTATTTGGCATCAGTGATGGTTTTTAAAATGGGAGATGTCACATTAAAATCTAGATTTTTAATTAAAGAAATAAATTATACCTGAGGGGGGGTGGGACCTAGATTTGCAGCACTAGAAGCAGATTGTCACTTGACACCAGTTAGGTGGACCTGAGTACTGCTTCTCATTCTGAAAGGTCATATGTTCCTCAATTCATAGTAATTCTGTTTTCTCTTGCCTTATAATTTGCCACCTTTACTCTTACTTTCTCCCTGGCCCCTGCACGTATTTGCATTTGAAACCCTGGTGTATAACATATACTGGCTTCCCCAGAAAACATTATCTGTCATAAAATTCCCACCCAGCATAACCTGATTAATTAGAAATGTATAAATCAAAGAAGAGCTTTTAGCCAAATAACTAAGCATAGTACCTAATCTTAGGGTAGGAGTATACCTTTGTTTTAGTTTCTCTTAAAATCATTAATGATATAAGATGAAAATTATATGTTATACTTCATTTTGGTTAAACTTGTTATTTCATTAGCTCTCAATCAAGTGAATAGGTATGCATTTTCTGTGCAGTTAGGTGATGGATGAAATTGGTATAACCAATTAACTATGTTAACTATGTATTAACTATATTAACCAAAATAGTTGCTTATTCTAGGTTACTAAATAGTTCTCCCTTTTCAGCTTGAGTGCATGATCTTACCAGAATACATTACATTTTAGGCCATTGTTTACTTTAAATTTTTAACCAGTGGACATTTGTGGTATAATAAAATATTTTTACTTAATTGTTGTGAGCACTATAGATCCAAGCAATGCAAGTAAAAAGGGAAAAGTGATTTCACTCCTTCAGTATGTATTAGCTTAAAGTAAATACAAATAGGGTTTCCACCTACTTTCAGTTATGAAAGTTTCCCCTTTTATTACCAATAATGAGAATTATCATTAGTATTTCAGCAAAAGGAACACTTAAGACATTTCTTTGCCTGCTGTTATATACTAAGTAATCTCGGGTTTTTTTCCAGCCGCCCAAAATGTGTAGATGAAGTTGCTTTCCAGGAAGAAGTGGTTGCAGTCCTGAAAAAGTCTTTAGAAGGAGCTGATGTGAGTAACAGATGATGTTTCACATCATTGGGAGATAGAAGATTTAATTTACCCATCCTCTTCCTTTCTTTTATCATTGCCTGCTCCCCTAAAATACTAGCTGCACACATAGTATGCCCTGGATAACTATTTGTACAGTGGATGATTGGTTCAAATATCGATTGAGCATCTCCTATTCTGTCCTGTGGCATTGTTATGTAAAACTCAAGTAGAGACCATTGAATGAGACACATTGGGTCCTTGGGCCCATGAGCTTTGATTTTGGTGGAGAGTGACCGAGAATAAATCTGTAAGCCAAATAAAAGAATTAGAGATAATTGTGCTCTAAAGAAGCGTCAGATTCTTTGAAAGTATAATTGCTCACCTAATGTTAGGATTTGGTTTGAACTACAATACAAAAAAATGAGTATGTAATTTTGCTTATAGCATTGTGTCTTCTGCTGTGTTATGTGGGATAAAAAGAAACTTTATGGATGTGAGGGTGATGTGACTGTGACATCTGTCACCCCATTGATTGCCAGCATTGATTCGGCTGATCTGTCTGGCTAGGTGGGTGTCCCCTTCCTCCCTCAGCGCTCCCAGGTGCGTCCCTCCTGGAGCTGCGTGCTCAGTTGAAGGGGACGACCTTCCCTAGTAGAGGAGGACCATTATTTGGTCAAGGGTGTACGACTAGCTGTGCTCCCCTGCTAGAACCTCCACGCAAGCTCTCAAGGTCTTTTTGTAGGAGAACGTAGGGTAGGCAGGCTTCCAGGACACATCCAAAGGAGGCACTGCACGTGGCAGTCTGCCTTTCTTTAAAGAAAAAAAAAGTCTTTGAATGACTTGCATTTTAGATTATTCAGAGGCAAGATAATTCCATAAGAAGAATTAGCAGTTTAAAGTTGTATATGATGAAGTGCTGCCTTAAGAACTCAGTGAAAGAAGGGGAAAAGTTGCAGATGAAAGTGGGATGTGGGTTTTCCTTTTTTCCCAAGGAAGATTTGCTTCCTTCCTCTCAACCTGGCTACTTTGAATTAGAGGTTCTTGTGGCTTTTGCTGCCATTATTCTCTTCCTGAAATTATACTACAATAGTACATATTTTGAAAGGAGTTATACTTCTCAAACTATTTAAAATCTTTGCCAGTTTGTTTATTTGATTTTGATCCAAGTGCCATTACCTTTTAATGTTGGTGTATACAGTTTTTTTAATTAAAAAAAAATTTTTTTAGCATTTATTCATTTTTAAGAGACAGAGGGAGACAGAGCATGAGTAGGGGACAGGCAGAAAGAGAGGGAGACACAGAAGGCTCTGAGCTTGAACCCATACACTGTGAGATGATGACCTGAGCTGAAATCAGATGCTTAACTAAGCCACTTAGGTGCCCCTGGCATATACAATTTTAATTGTATAGTAATAACTACACAGATTGCAGAACAAGATATACTTTAAATATATATAGTGTTCTCAACTCTTCAGGCATACGTAGTGGGATTATGATCCAGTTCTTGACTTTATACCATCTATCTTATAAGGCTGAATTAAGAACTTTCTTTTTTAAACCCTTGTTTAACATCTTGTTTGTTTACAGACTGTTTTCTAAAACTTAAAGATGAAATTTTTTAAAATAAATTTTAAAAAAATTTTTAATGTTTTATTTATTTCTGAGAGAGAGACAGTGTGAGCAGGAGAGGGTCAGAGAGAAAGGGAGACACAGAATCTGAAACAGGCTCCAGGCTCTGAGCTAGCCGTCAGCACAGAGCCCGACGCAGGGCTCAAACCCATGAACTGCGAGATCATGACCTGAGCTAAGTTGGACGCTTAACCGACTGAGCCACCCAGGCATCCCATAAATAAATATTTTTTAATGTTTATTTTCGAGAGAGAGAGTGTGAGTGGGGAGGGAAAGAGAGGAAGACCCAGAATTTGAAGCAGTCTTCAGGCTCTGAGCTGTCAGCACAAGCTCAACATGGGGCTCAAACCCACAGACCACGAGATCTTGACCTGAGTTGAAGTCAGACACTTTACCAACTGAGCTACCCAGGTGCCCCAGATGAAATAATTTTTAAATTCTACAGAGTAAAGAAATATAATTCATACCATCATTTACTTTAGTATATGTGCTGCTGAAGTGAGGACTCATTCCTTCATTTAGATCAAAAGTTTTTATAGTAGAATTATAATAGATGTTTTTCAGACTTTTTTGTTTTTTCAGTTTCTATATTTATTTTGAGAGAGAGTATGCAGGGGAGGGTCGGAGAGAGAGAATCCCAAGCAGGATCCATGCCATTAACAGAGCCCAACATAAAGCTCAAACTCAGAAACTGTGAGATGATAATCTAAGCCAAAAACAAGAGTCAGTCGCTTAACCGACTGTGCCACCCAGGCACCTCCAGAAATGAATTTTAAGCACTAATATTTCACATACAGTTCTTGAATGTACCATATATATCAGATTGTTGTATAATGTAAGGCTTAATAATTTTACCATGTTTCAAAGAATTTAAGTTATTGTATGATAGTTACATGGATGAATTATTATAAATATTGAAGTATGCATGAATCAAAATAATAATAATAACCTTAAAGGGGCACCTGGGTGGCCCAGTTGGTTGAGCATCCATCTCTTAATTTCTGCTGAGGTCATTATTTCATAGTTCATAGAATCAAGCCTTGTGTCAAGCTTTGCACTGACAGCACGGAGCCTGCTTGAGACTCTCTTGCATGAGCACATGCACTCTCTCTCAATAAATAAATATTTTTAAAAAATAGTTATAATCTTAAAGATGAAGTAGCCCAGGAATATTTTTTAATAAATTGACATACCCAAGTTGACTAGCCCAGAGCTACTAGAAGGAATGCAGTAATAAAGATTAGGGTGAAAATAAGTGAAATAGAGACTAAAACAAACAAACAAAAACAGTAGAAAAGATCAGGGAAGCCAAGCTGGTTCTTTGAAAGTATAAACAAAATTGTTAGACCTTTAGCCAGACTCCTCAAGAAAAAGAGAGGACTCAAAATCAGAAATGAAAGAGGAGACATACCAAGTGACACCACAGAAATACAAAGAATTAATTATAAGAGAACATGATGGAAAAGTGTATACTAAGAAATTGGACAACCTAGAAGAAATAGATAAATTCTAGAAACATATAATGTTCCAAAACTGAATCAGGAAGAAATAAAAAATTTGAATAAACCAATTACTAGTAATGAAATTGAATTGGTAATCCAAAATCTCCCAGCAGACAAAAGTCCAGGACCAGATGACTTCATAGGTGAATTTAACTAAACATTTAAAGAAGAGGTAATATCTGCTCTTCTCAAACTAATCAAAAAAATAGAAGAGGAATGAAAACTTCCAAATTTGTTCTATGAGGCTAGTATTTCCCTGATTCCAAAACTGGTCAAAAAGCTTAGGAGGTTTTTCAGTGTTTGTTTTTAAGTAGTTAAACTCATAGCTTGTATCTTAAGGTATATGTTACTAATTTAACAGTAACAGGCTTCAGTCTATATATTTGTACCTCTGTTTATTTGATACTGTTGCGTACAGTACAAGATGCTGAGAACACAGATGTGAAGAGAACAGACAAATACAGTTTTTAAAAAATAAAATTTAACTTCTGCAGCTCCCTAATCTCTTGTTTTACGGGCCACCCGGAACTGGAAAAACATCCACTATCCTGGCAGCAGCTAGGGAGCTTTTTGGGTAAGTTGAAATCTCTCTCTCTTTTTTAAAAAAGACACCAAAAATCTCTGCTTTTCTTTCTCTAAAAATTGGTATTTGGTTTTTCTGTAAGATTATTGGCTTTGTTTTTATTTCTGTATTTTTTTACTAATTCCATGGGCCCATTTCCAATTCTTCCCCTCCAGTAAATAAGCGTGGCTACATCTTTTGTAATCTTCATTTTGAGCCTTCTTCAGATGCTGGAATGTACAACACTGTGTGCCTCGTGATTTTTCATCACTTGAACTTTTTCATTGTGATTTTAGAGTCTAGAGGACCTATTCTAATTTTAATCATGCCAGTACTCCCATCACTCTGTTAATGGTGTGTTCCATCTGTGTCCTTGTGTGCTAGAATTCGCTGTGTCTGATGCTACTGACCTACACTTCCCCTTCTAGAGTGTCTTCTGGCTCTGGCCTGCCCAGCCTTGCCTCTGGAGTAACGAGGCCAGCTCCTTGCCCTCAAGTATCTTGAGCGTGAGCACAGTATGTGGTAGGTGAGGCCGTAGGAGTCCAAGAACACCAGAAAAACTGTGAGCCAATTTCTTAGATTCTTCTTTCTAGAGCACTGGCGTAGGCAGCCATTTTAGAGCAGGCCTTTACCTACCATTCAAAGATACAGATCAGCCCAGGTCTGATAGCAATAAAACATGTACCAGCACAGCAAAGGCTGTCTTGGACTTCTCCAGAATTTCTGTATCAAGCATCTGAAATCCTACATGTGAAAATAATCAGATAATTAGTTCTATTGAAATGTGAAGGAAGAAAAATGGGGAAGCTGCTGTGAACCTAGTATTTTATTTATTTGACAGCAACTTTGTTTCTCAAGGAAATTATAAAAGTTCTTTTGATTATTCCACGACTCCGATCCAAACTGAACCAACCTTCCCAATGTAGTCATAATGAATTTAAGTACTTTATTATTAGTTTCTTGAGAGTAGCTCAATCCAAACTATATAACTTTTAAAATATCCTCTTACAAATAATTTTTGACCATATAGAACTAAAAGAACTTACTTTAATTATGAATTCCACATTTCATAGTATATTTGGTTTTAAAATAGAAAATATATGCACAGAATTTTGTAAATATTTATGCCCATAGAAAAATGCCTAGGATCTCATGTTGTTTAGGAAAAATAAAGAGAAAACTAAATCCCACCTCTTTTTTAATTAAAAATTATAAATGCGTATAGTAAAAAAAACCCATTTTCAAAACAGTGGCATAGCAGGGTGTTTTGTTATTTTAATTTTCTTCTGATTTCTCAGATGATCCTATGGTGAGCTACTTTTTTATTTAATATTTATTTTCGAGAGAGAGAGAAAGAATTTGAGAGACAGCACACGTGAACAGGGGAGGAATGGGGGACAGAGAATCTGAAGCCGGCTTCTGTGCTGACAGCAGAGAGCCTGATGCAGGGCTTGAACTCACGAACCAAACCAGGAGATCATGACCTAGGCTGAAATTGGACACTTAACCGACTGAGTCACCCAGGCGCCCCTGGTGAACTACTTTTAAAAACTTTTTTAAAAACTCAAAAAAACTTCACGTATTAGTTCAGTAATAGCTCTGATAGCAAGTCACCTTATGGAAACAATTAAAAACAATGCTCTATTGCAACAGGATTTAAAATTGAACATATTTAAAACTAAATATCTAATAAAAAGATTAAGTAAATGGTGGTACAGTCATAGGATAGAACATTTTACAGCTATTAAAATGATATTTACAGTGGTTCTGATGACAGGACAAGATGTTCATGATATAATCCTTAGTGGAAAATTGATTTAAAATGTTATAAATTGTATGTAAACTGTATTTTTTAAATATTGTATATAAATTAAATATAAATTTAAATGGTATATAAAATTGTATATAAATTATCTTTTTTTTCCCATCTGCTTTTTAAATAGAATGTAAAAAAAAAACCTGTGTCTACAAAAGAAAAAATATAAAAGTGATTGTGTGCCTTCTATCCATAGTGTTTAGGTGGATTTTAAACTACTTCAGGGGTGCCTGGGTGGCTCAGTTGGTTAAGTGTCCAACTTCAGCTCAGGTCATGATCTCATGGTTCATGGGTTCAAGCCCTGTGTCTGGCTCTGTGCTGACAGCTAGCTCAGAGCCTGGAGCCTGTTTCAGGCTCTGTATCTCCCTCTCTCTCTGACCCTCCCCTGCTCATGCTGTCTCTCTCTCTCTCAGAAATAAATAAAACATTTTAAAAAATTAAAAAAAACTAAACTACAAAATGTGCAATTTTTAAAATGTGCTTTAAACCTTGGGTGGTTTTTTTTAATGTTTTTTATTTATTTTTGAGAGAGACAGCGTGAGCAGGCGAGGGTCAGAGAGAGGGAGGGACACAGAATCTGAAGCAGGCTCCAGGCTCTGAGCTGTCAGCACAGAGTCTGACGTGGGGCTCGAACCCACAAACAGTGAGATCATGACCTGAGCCGAAGTCGGACACTCAACTGACTGAGCCACCCAGGCGCCCCTAAACCTTGGTTATTTATATGCTCTATGATATTTCATTTGTTTCATTTTGACATAGGCCTGAACTGTTTCGATCGAGAGTTCTTGAATTAAATGCATCTGATGAACGTGGAATACAAGTAGTTAGAGAAAAAGTGAAGAATTTTGCTCAATTAACTGTGTCAGGAAGTCGCTCAGAGTAAGTAAACTCACTTTCCCTTCTTCATGCCATGTCATTGCATTTAAAATACTTCTTTGCCAAATGTCCAACTACTTTTACTTTTTTAAATTTATTTTTTTAATGTTTTATTTATTTCTGTGAGAGAGAGAGAGACAGACAGAGACAGCGTGAACAGGGGAGGGTCAGAGAGAGAGGGAGACACAGAATCCAAAACAGGCTCCAGGCTCTGAGCTAGCTGTCAGAGCCCGATGTGGGGCTTGAACCCATAAACCGTGAGATCATGACCTGAGCTGAAGTCGGATGCTTAACCAACTGAGCCACCCAGACATCCCTCATTTATTTATTTTTGAGAGACAGCACAAGTGAGGGAAGGGCAGAGAGAATGAGACACAGAATCTGAAGCAGGCTCCAGGTTCTGAACTGTCAGCACAGAGCATGACGCAGGCAGGGCTGGAACTCACAAACCATGAGATCATGACCTGTGGAAGCTTAACTGACTGAGCCACCCAGGTGCCCTGTCCAACTCCTTTTTCACGTTGGATCATAATATATTTTTTTAAGATTTTATTTTTTTAAGTAATCTCTACACCCACTGTGCGGCTCAAATTTACAACTCCAAAATTGTGTCACATTCTCTGCTGACTGAGCCAACCAGGAACCTAATTATCTAAGTTATTTAAACCCACAAGTGGCCTTTTCCATTATAATAACTAATTTTAAATTGTTTAGCTGTCAAGAGTTTTTTTTAACTGATGTTTTGACTAAGGAGTATTAATCAAAGTTGATAGTTTGGTGGTAAACTCATAATAAAAAATCCTGATTTTTGCTATTGTGTTATTAAAAAAAAATTCAGATATCTTAAGCTTCAGTACATATTTCCTAATTAGCGTGACCATATAAGTTCTTGTCCAAACTGGGACACTTCTACACTAAAAGAGGTATTAATAATTTAAATAGGACTGCCCTGAGTTAAACAATGATGTTTAGTCAGCTCCTTATACTGCTTAGATGGCAAAGTCCCAAGATTAAAGTTTTGGAAGCTGGCATAGATTTAAATTTGTATCAGAGCACACTTAAGAATTTGTAGAAAGTGATTTTTGAATCTACCTTGGCCTGACAATGCTTATAAATCCTATATTTGATAAGGGACTTGACTTAGATCAAGAATATATAAAGAACTCTCACATTTTAATAAAAAGAAAACCCAATTAAAAAGGCAAAGGAACTGAATAGACCTTACACTGAAGAAGATACAGTAGGTCCCCCCCCAATATATTCAGTTTCTGTGATTTCAGTTGCCTGCAGTCAGCTGAAGTACAGAAACAAACGATCCACCTTCTGACATAATCATCAGAAGGTTATTAGTAGCCTGACATCACTTTGTCTCATCACATAGGCATTTTCCCATCTCACATCATCACAAGAGGGGTGAGTAAAATCTAATAAGATACTCTGAGACCACGTTCACATAAATTTTATTACATAATAATTATAATTGTTCTGGGGCGCCTGGGTGGCTTAGTCGGTTAAGCGTCCGACTTTCGCTTAGGTCATGATCTCGCGGTTCGTGGGTTCGAGCCCCGCATCGGGCTCTGTGCTGACTGCCAGCTCAGAGCCTGAAGCCTGTTTCAGTCTGTGGCTCCCTCTCTCTCTGACCCTCCCCTGCTCACGCTGTCTCTCTCTCTCTCTCCTAGAAATAAATAAAACATTAAAAAAAAATTAAAAAAATAATTATAATTGTTCTATTTCATTATTACATTATTGTTAATCTCTTCCTATGCCTGATTTATAAGTTCAACTTTTTCATAGGTAAGTATATAGGGAGTATGTGTGCATAGGGAAGACATGGTATATATATTTATATGCAGTTTGGTTCTAGTCAGGGCTTTAGGCATCCCCTGGGGTCTTGGAATGTATTCCCTGTGGATACGTGGGGACTCCTATACAAATGGCCAGTAAGCATGTGAAAACATGCTCATCAACATCATTAGCCACAGAGAAATGCAAATCGAAACCATGATGAGATACCACTTTACACATACTAGGATGGTTAATCAAAAAGAAAATAGTATTGGCAAGAACGTTGAGAAGTTGGACCCTTATACTTTGCTGACTGAAATGTAAAATGGTACACGCATTTTGAAAATACTTTGGCAGGTCCTTTAAAAGTTAAACATAGCGTTACCAGATGACCCAGCAATTCCAATCTTAGGTATATACCCCCAAGAAATGAAAACATAGGTCTATTCAAAAGACGTACAAAAATGTTCATAGCAGTATTGTTCATAATAGTCAAAACATGGAAACAACTCCAATATCCATTAATTTAATGAATGGACGAATAAACTGTGGTATATCCCTTTGCTGTATTATTTAGCAATAAAAAGGAATGAAGTAATGACATACAACAACATGGATGAACCTTGAAAGCATGCTAAGAAGCCAATCACAGAAGACAATATATTTTTCCATTTATATGAAATGTCGAGGATACACACATCTGTGGAGACAGAAAGTAGAGATCCATGTTTGCCAGCGGCTGGGAGAGTTGGGAGAAGAGTGACTCCTAATGGCGCATGGGGATTTTTTGGGGGACCATGAGAATGTTCTAAAATTAGCTTATGGTGATGATCTGTGAATTTTAACTCCTGTTTCTCTGAATCAGCGGGAAGCCATGTCCTCCTTTTAAGATTGTGATTTTGGATGAAGCAGATTCTATGACCTCAGCTGCTCAGGCAGCTTTACGACGTACCATGGAGAAGGAGTCTAAAACCACCCGGTTCTGTCTCATCTGTAACTATGTCAGTCGGTATGTGTATTGCCCTGAAAATAGATGCTAGGCAGCCTTACTTTGGTTAACTCCAATTAGAGAGAGAAAAACTTTAAATGTTTCAAGGCTACAGTAATTTTTCCTCTTCAAGTCTTGATTTGTTCTTGATAAAAAGTTCTTTGGGGGAAATGCTTCTTTAGACACTGACTTTTTTTACCCCAATATTTTACAGAATAATTGAACCACTGACCTCTAGATGTTCTAAATTCCGCTTCAAACCACTGTCAGATAAAATTCAACAGCAGCGATTACTAGACATCGCTGATAAAGAACATGTCAAAATTAGCAATGAGGTAATTCCTAATTATTACAATTACTAATTCCTTTGATGAACTCATGTAGAGAGATCCTGAAAGCATCAAATGTGTTGCTTTATTTCTGATGCCTTTAGGCAAAGTTAAGCTAAAAGAGTGACAGCTGGAATGTCTAGGAATTATAGCTTCTGTCTTCTTGTTACTATTAGAAATTTATTGTATTTCAGAGACCCAGAACTGGGGCAGATTTTTTTTCTTTTAATGTTATATTTATTTCTGAGAGAGAGACAGCGTGAGCAGGGGAGGGTCAGAGAGAGAGGAAGACACAGCATCTGAAACAGGCTCCAGGCTCTGAGCTGGCTGTCAGCACAGAGCCCAACACGGGGCTCGAACCTATGAACTGTGAGATCATGACCTGAGCCGAAGTCAGATGCCTAACTGACTGAGCCACCCAGGCGCCCCAGAGTTCATATACCTAATACAAATTCTGCAACAGGTCTCTGCATAATGACAAGATTTTAGTGTCCTAGCTAATGTTTCACTTCAGGAGCAAATTTGGTGAAGTTCAGGTACAGGAAGACTATATAGGCCTAATTCATTTTAACAGAATGTAACCATAATTTGAATCATTTTTGCTTCATTTATTAAACAGAATAGGATTCAAAGTATGGAACATCTCTTTGCAAATTTTTTTCAGAGGCAAAAGATGTCTATCCTTCTATAGGACTGGTGCTGTTTTCATTAATTCTGCCACTGTGGGACTGATAATATTCCCCTAAAAATGAAAATAAAACTTTTCCCCACTAACTCTAGGCTAAAACAGTTTTTCCACTTTTATTAAACCCAGAAAGTCTTAATTGGGTGTCCATCACCAGTAAAAAAAAAATTTTTTTTTCCCTCAGGGAATAGCTTATCTTGTTAAAGTGTCAGAAGGAGACTTAAGAAAAGCTATTACATTTCTTCAAAGTGCTACTCGATTAACAGGTGGAAAGGAGATCACAGAGAAGGTGATCACAGACATTGCTGGGGTAAGTAGGATATTTTGAAATTCTTAGCTTTGTGGCTTTTAGAAAATTTCCATCCAATATATGCAGAATGCTTAGTATGTGCTAGTTTATTCCATTTGGGCAGCTTTAACAAAATACCATAAGCTGAGTGGCTTATAAACGACAGAATTTCACCCTTCTGGCGGCTGGGCCTTGTGAGATCAAGCAGATTATATTGAGTATCTGGTGAGAACCAACATCTTAGTGCTTAGACTCTAGTTTGTGGACTAGACTCACTGCATCCTCTGGCAGAAAGGCCTTTTAGAAGGGCACTAATCCCATTCATGGGTGTTTCACCCTCATGACCTCATCAACCTCCAAACGGCCTCATACCTTAACCTCACATTAGGGATTTTTAATAGAGGAGTCGGGATTAGTAGTCTATAGTGTGTGCCAAGTACTGTGCTAGAAACCATGTAATACGAGAATAACCTGAAAGCATCAGAACACTTCAGGGGTTGTGGTATTAAGATTTAACAGCTCTCCCTGTTCTTATATATCTGACCCTTTTGTATACATATGTATACAAATGGGGCAGTATATCCCTATTACAGAAATCACTTGTCAGGGTTCATCTCTACTAGGATTACTAATATTACTTCTTTTAAAACTTAGTTCCCAAGGTATTTTTTAATACCATAATCAAACTGATGGCATTAGTACTCTTTAATTTTCTGGGTGCTCTGGGCCTTCTAAGAGCAGTCTCTTGTTAGTCCCCCTTTTCAAGTAGACTACTTGGCTGATTTGAGCCACTGCTAAGAATTGTTAGTGCCACTGGGGTATAAGCCAGTGTTCTAGCCAGTGGGTAGAATTTTTAGCTGCTTGCTCACCCCACTGCCCATATCAGCTCTTCTCCCATCATGGGCTCAAACTTGACGTTATCAGGAGCAAAGGAGATTTTGTATACTTTGACATTAAGGGATTCTTAAAAGCAAAATGCATCACCCTAGTTAGAGTAGCAACTGGACTAATTTAAGATGGTCCTACTCAGGGTTGAGAGATTAGGGCGAAATTTTGTTAGCTTTCTGGATTATCTGGAGTTCAGGAAAGGAGCCGTAAGGGGCTTTCAAGCTCTACACCCCATGCCACAGGAGGTCTGTTTGCATACAATGAATTGCCCTACCGAGGCCTTGAATAAACTTGGGTGCAGGCCATTTTCAGACCCAGAAACGGTCTTTAAACTTTTTAGGTAATACCAGCTGAGACAATCAATGGACTGTTTGCTGCATGTCATAGTGGCTCTTTTGACAAGCTAGAAGGTGCAGTAAAAGTAAGTCACTTTACTAATAACTTTGGAAAGGGAAGGGCAAAATTAAAAGTCATACCAAGTAGTATTCTTTCTGTTACAGAATTTAATAGATGAGGGCCATGCAGCAACTCAGCTTGTAAATCAGCTTCATGATGTGGTTGTAGAAAATGAGAACCTTACTGACAAACAGAAATCCATCATCACAGAAAAACTTGCTGTAAGTAGGCACTTGCTTGCACATTTCAGCAAAAATCTGCAACTCCAAATGAAATTTTACTAACCTTTAGTTTTCCTGTAGGAAGTAGATAAGTGCTTGGCGGATGGTGCTGATGAACATCTACAATTGATCAGCCTCTGTGCTACTGTGATGCAGCAGTTAACTCAGAATTGCTGAAACCTTTGTAAGGTATTGTTTTTAAAAAAATAAAATGACCAAAACACCTTTAAAGTGAATATACAATTTATTTAACATTCAAACTTCATTAAGACATGTGCAATATGGCAATTTTACTGGGGGTTTAACCCTACCTAGGATATGATTGCTTGCTGGGGCTTAGCAACAGGGTCCAGTTCACACTTAGCACTAATTAAATACTTTATTGAATAAATACAATACCAAACAAAATGCATTCAAATGCTTTCTAAAAAAAAAAAAAAAAATCAATTTTAAAGGCCTTCTATTCAGGCTAATGACAAACACAATAAAGGCAGATATGCTAGTTTAACATAATTGGCTGATTTTATACAGCACTTATATCTTTTAGTCCATAAGTATATTATTAAATGATAGAGAACATCTAATACAACCATTTCTACAGAACTAGGAAATAAATTTCTAAGAAAGAAAGATTTTACAGACCCCATCTTTTATACCCACCCCAACAGTCTAACTCTAAAGAGGATAAAGCCAACGCCTTTCCTCACAAGAGCTCACGACTAAAGTCGCTTTGCTATCAAAATCTGTATTTCTGATCCGTTATGAGCATTGAGACAAGATTCAAATATTCCCAAAGAAAGAAGCACAATGCACGTTGTGATCGCCTATTCAGCAACAGCGAGCACTGCATTCAAAACTATCTCATCCCAGGAATTAAATAAGGTCAGCCACATTCATTGGCATTTCCTCCACTGTAGTATTGTAGAAAGTCTCAATGTCACGAAGAATCCTCTTGTCTTCTTCAGTAACAAAGTTTATAGCCACACCTTTCCTCCCAAATCGACCCCCTCTGCCAATTCTGTGTAAGAAAAAAAACCGCAATTAGATGGTTTCTTCTCAAATATTAATGAACTACTGAACATGATGATCCACTTGTTAACCATCAGCTGCTGTTTACTTAACAAGGTTATAGGTCGTGCTTCTAATTGGAGCACTAGCTGCTAATCAATATCTAGAGAAAAAAATCTTCCTTTGCAGTTAGTGCCAAAAGGATTCAAGGCTTGTCTGGCTGCAAAATGAGATTTTATCAGGTGTCTTGAGCACTACTTTTAAAGCAGATGACAGTATTGTGTTTGGGGTAGTGAAATTAAAGCCCATACCAAAGTGGGCCAGCCAAGAGCAGATGTCAGCCTGGGACAGATGTAAACACCAGGGATAAAACAAAAGAACAGTTATGTAATCCATTTCGACGCACCTCTGGAACTGTAAAACTGCAAACACAAATGCTGCAAGGTTAACTACTACCTAAAACTTACAACTTTTTCCAGTGGGAAAACAAGTATTTGGTATGGTAACCCAAACTTATCACTGCTTTTTGCTCAGTTTCACACGTTGTAACTCAAATTACTCAAAACGTGTTTACCTCCAAACAGCTTTCTACCTTCCTGATAGAAACCAGACAACACAAACCACCTACTAGACTAACATACAAAATGCCTTGGCTGGAGCAACTTAAAAGTATCAAATAATCATGACAAAAGAAAAACAAATATAAATACCGACTCGCTCTTTATTCAAACAGTGTGCTGTTTCGCTTATGATTCCACGTCCTAAATTACGTCAACGCCGTTTCTGAGCGCCATCTCGTCATCAACTGCTGCTATCGACTCCTGTATTTTTTAAAAAGTCTTTTTTTACATCATATAACAAAGTACAATTCAATTTACTTAGGGATAAAGCCACTATAACTAAACCAGGGACTGCTCAAATTGCTACCAGACAACACCAAGAAAATCCCAACTACCGAGGAATCATCGAGAAAGCACATGGACACAGAAACATCACTAAAAACTCAAAAATAAGCTAAGACCAACAGATCTAAATAACCGGATTTGTACGTATTAAGTCCACAACTTAATATGGGTAACATTTACAACTGTTTTCCCACTGTAAGATGACCAATCTTCCCAAGTACAATTTTGGTTACATCTTACCAAGCTACTGTAAGTCTTTTTTACTTCCCTGATTTGAAGTTACCTTTCAAACAAATCAGTCAGTAGAAAAGCCATACATAAATTCCTTTTCCCAATACAGTCAAGATACCACCTACTCACCTGTGAATATAGTTTTCACGATTGGTAGGTAGATCATAGTTTATAACCAATGACACTTGTTGCACATCAATCCCACGAGCCTGAAATACAACAGTAGAATGTTCAAATCTAATTTTAAAAACTAGACATCTATGTAATAATGTAGGCCACAAAATAGTAGTGAACTATGTTATGTGATATAGCCCACTGTGGAGTGTGGTCTTTTCTTTATTCTCCCAAAGAGCCCAAATTGGTAAAGGTTATTAAAAAACCTTCCCCCCAAAACAAACTTTTGGTAGATTAAAAACAACACTATAAAGAGACTTACCAACAAGTCAGTAGTGATCAGAACACGGCTTGACCCTGATCGGAATTCCCTCATGATAACATCTCTTTCCTTCTGGTCCATGTCACCATGCTGCAAATTAACAAACCTTAATTCAAGAATCACCAGTAAAACCAATACTTAACTTTATTGACATGTATGAGACCAAGCGTCCCTGGCTGCTACAGGAGGATAGCAGACAGGTATAGTTAAGAAACAACTTTATTCTGAGCAGGGGGAACGACAACACAGCACTTAACAGCTATATTGTAGTCTAAATCCTGCTTTAATGAAAACAGACACTGTAAGAACCATTGCCAGGTTAGAACATCTCTTACCAGAGCAGAAACGGTGAAGTCCCTGGCATGCATTTTCTCAGTGAGCCAGTCCACCTTGCGCCTTGTATTGAGAAAAATAACAGCCTGAGTAATCGTCAGGGTCTCGTACAAGTCACAAAGTGTATCCAACTTCCACTCCTACAATATTTCAAAGTTAACAACTATTAAAACCTAGTTTCCAACTTGCTTTCATTAGAAATTCATCATTAGGCCTAATGCATATAGCACCAAATCTTAAGACAAAGGACACTGGACATTAAGAAAGAGGTCCACCCCAGTCTTTTACAATCTAGTGCAGTTATTTTTCTTCTTGTGTGTACTCTGCTAGCATTACTACAGAAACTAAGAGGCAATCTTAGTTTCTGCAATTTTAGCACAGTGCTTATACAAGAAGGTTAAGGGAAAAATATCCACATCTTAATGTTTAGATACACTACCTACCTCTCTTTCAACATTAATATAGAACTGTTTGATTCCTTCAAGGGTCAATTCTTCCTTTTTCACCAGAATTCGAATTGGATCTCTCATGAATTTTTTGGTCACCTCCAACACATCAGTTGGCATTGTGGCAGAAAGCAACACAACCTTAAAAAGACAATGCTTAGGTTATCACACAAATAACACAACTTTTACAATAATCAAAGATCAAGCCTATGAAATTGTGTTACAGTTCTGTACCCATTGTTTTAAGGGAAAGGACAAACATTTCAGTTGTACTGTAACCTGCATTAACCAAAGTCCCAACTACTATAGGAGAGGGAGTACATTTAAAGCTCACCTGAATACTTGTATTTAATTTTTGGAAAATCTCATAGATTTGATCCTTAAACCCTCGGCTCAACATTTCATCTGCCTCATCCAAAACGAACATATTGATCCATTTTGGAGCTGACAAAGAAAGACAAAACCATACATACTATCAGCTCTAGGTCCACAAAAGGATTGAAAATTTTAATTTTTAATAGTAAAAACAAGTTCTATTCAACAGACAATACTTACAAAGGTATCTTCTGTTTAGCATATCAAATACTCTTCCTGGTGTACCAACAACAATGTGTGGTGCTTCAGCCTGCAGTTTTTGCATTTCATTCCTAACATTGGTTCCACCAATGCAGGCATGACAAGTTGCTCCCATATAGTCTCCAAGGGCCAGAATTACCTTTTGGATCTAAAAGCCAATACCCTTAATTATTATCCAGCAAAATTACAGGCTCTGTGACTAAAATTCCAAAGCATAACGGCAAATATCTGGTCTGCAAAGAGCTTCTATGCATGCACAGCACTTAACTACTTTCAATCTTAAAATGCAGACTGAACTAACTGCTTCACGATAGAATTCCCTTCAAGTGTCTTCCTTAGGTCTCGTCGCCCCAGATACCGGCTAAGTTAATTAAAGGATCTGAGTTCAATCATTTTCTATGTTGCTCTTCATTGTGTAGAAAGATGTAAATAATGGAATGATCTCTGCGATTACATCTAGGACATGTGGATACTTTAAGTTTTCCCAAAGTACTGGAACTTGTCATCCTGACCTTAATAAACCCTAGTTTTATCAGCAAGGTTTTACTTCAAAGCCAATAGAGCAGTGAGCTTTGAAAACATAGCATGCAACAGATGCATCACAAACTACTGAGACAGTCAAAGAACATGTCACTGCAGTTTTCATGTTGCACAACTGCATTCAAACTTAAAAATGGGAACAGATCTAGTCCACCCTGAAAAGAACTTTGGTTTCTCTAATCTCTTACACAGCCCTGCAAACCATACCTGCACACCCAGCTCCTATTTTTACCTTTCAACAAAAACTCCCTGCATGCACGGACAATTAAAAGGAGGGCTCGAATAGGACCAGTTTACTCTAAGTTTTAAATTCTTCACAGTTGTGAAACCTGAAACCTATGCAACACGCAAGCAGTTTTTTTGAACTACACTATCAATACCTGTTGAGCCAGTTCTCTGGTGGGGGCCAATACTAGTGCTTGGGTCTCCTTGAACTCAATCTCCAACTGTTGCAGGATGGAAATAGCAAATGTGGCTGTCTTGCCAGTACCTGACTGAGCTTGAGCAATCACATCATACCCTAAAAAAAGTAGGATACATATTTACCGATCCCACATCAAACCGCCACTTCTAGTTCACACCATGTATTCCGTTTGGAACATTAATTATGCCCAAATAATCAAGTGATCAGCAATGAGTATTCTCCTCATTTCAGGTCAGTCCCGAAAGATGATTGCCATCATTTCACTTTAAGGAATACAAACAGGTGCTAGTCCCCCAGAAGTTATTTTCCCTTTAATGGTTCAGGTCTATGTAGAACAGTTTTTTACAAAGTGCTAACCAGTTCTTTTACCTTTAATACAAGGAATAATAGCTCTCTGCTGAATAGCTGAAGGCTTCTCAAAACCGTAAGCATAGATGCCCCGAAGAAGAGACTCCTTTAAATTCATATCGTCAAAGTTATCAACAATCTCATTCCAGTTGCTCTGTAAGTTACACATAAAGAAGGTTGAATAAACGGGATGAACAAGCTCACCTTTCCACCGCTTCAAAAACAACACACGTTCCTTACCTCGATGACACCATCGGGGTCCATTCCCTCTGGGCCTCCATGTTCTCTGCTGGCAAGAATACTGCAGTTAGAGAACTTCCCTTTCCCAAACCTTCTCAAGTGCACGTCAAGGGACGGCCTGTTCTAGGCGGCCTCCCTTCCCCTGCCCTGCACGTGTACACCCCTATGCGGTTGTGCAAGCTGGTGGCGCAGGGCACACGAGGTGCGGGGCGCGCCTGCCCGCAGGCCGAGAAAAGGGGACGCCCGGAAAGGCCCCACGGACGCCGGCCCTTCCCCCAGGGCCCGAGCGCCAGGCGCTCCGGTCTCGGCGGCAGACCGTCTCGCGAGAGCTCCACGCGCCGAGCTCCGCCCCTTACACTGCGCAAGCCGGGGTGATTGACGCGGGCCGAGGCCTGGCGAGAGCTATGCCAACGGTTCGCGGGGACCCCGTTGCCGGCGCGGTCCCGGCCGCCTTGTGGTGGCGGCGAGCGGGCGCCGCTGTCACCCAAGCCCCCACCCCACCCAAAGTCGATCACTGCAACTCGCGCCATCCGCCGCCAATAAAGCCCCGGGCCCGTTACAGTGTACCGCCTGCGGACTGCGCCACCGCTTTAACGTGCTCCGTGGCAAGGGAACCGGCCGGGGTTTCAAAGCGTCTCCGGGAGGAGGAAAGACATCCTCCGACACCCGTTTTTGTACCCTAGTCTCCCCTCAATCCAGGCCCTACCCATCATGGAAGCTTCTCGAAGGGCAGGGGGATACTGCACCCGAAGGAAACGCCCATGAACTCAGAGCTCCCTGCCTCCACGCCGTCCATTAAAATATGTGCCCGCGTCATATGACCTTCACCACAAACACCACCACCGAGAAAACCCCATACCTGTTATAATCCGCGGAGCCACCAGACATGATCCGGAGAACCACTCAGCGCCCGACTGGAAAGACAGCGGTCCCGCGCCACCCGTTTTTTATAGGCTCGCGGCCGGAACCCGTTTTCTGCGGAGGAATTTACTTGTCGTTCTCTGGCCACCCACCAAATTGCGATCCTGGGGTCCTCACCTCAGAAAATATCCTAAGCAAGTGGGTAGGAAAATCCACATTTGGTGATTTCCGGATGTTACAAGGCGGCTGGAAATCCCAGGACCCTGGGGGAAGGTTGGGACTCTTTGCCTCGAGGCGGAAGAATATTGCAGCACGGGCGGCCAAACCGCGCTCCCGGCCCGCCCCGCGCCTACGGGGTTTCCGCGTCCCTGAAGCAGAGACGGCCCGGGGAGGCGAGCCGGCCCGGGAGGCGGAGGCCTGGGGCGGCTGCGGGCTGGGCCGCCGGCGCGTCCCCCTCGGGCCGGTGGGGCCGAGCCCGCCGTCCGCCGCCGGCGCCCGGGGCCCGCGGCAGGGGCACGGCCCGGCTCTGCGACCGGCGTGGGGCGGGGAGGAGGGGTTGGGGTTCTTCCGCCGGCTCCCGCCGCTGCTGGACTCGACCGTAAAGAGCCCCCTGGCCCCTCGCTGAGCGTTTAACATCTATGCAGATCTTGGAAGTGGGAAACTTCCTGCCTGGGAAAATGTCGGCCACCCAGCCTGTCCCCGAAAACCCGGTGCAGCGGGGTACGTTGTGGCACGCGGGGAGGAAGAAAATGTATCGTGTTATTTACAGAGGTCTCTGGAGTAGGCACCTCTGTTCCCATGTTGCCTCTGGCCCACTCTCGTTATCTTTTTAAAATCGGGATGATTTTAATGTCTGAGGAATGCCGAATAAGATCATTGTGAACTTTTGCAAATGGTTAACAGCTAACGAACGAGTGATTTTCCTGTAATGCAGGAACATAAATGGACGCTTCCGGCAGCTACAGCTCCATGCCCCTTTGGGACTAGGTAGATTTTGATTCTAGTCTCTATTGGTCTTTTTTTTTTTTTTCCAAAAAGCTTTGAACTTTAATTGTTTAATACCCAATGCATGTTGACTTAATGGAAAGTGAGAGCAGTACAGCCCTTGCTGCTTAAACTGCTTGATTCTTTAAGCCCTAGAGATTTTCAACTGTAGCCTTAACCCAGGCCTGTTGGGGGAAAAAAGAATCAATGTAGTCGTTTAACTTTAAAATGCTACCCACACTGTAAGATAGTATCAAGGGAAACATTTTCTCATTAATCCAGACAGCCACCTAAAGTCCGCTAACTAGGAAAAACTGACTCTTAATTTCCTGTATCTGTGTATGACAGTTAATTCTGAATATTTTTTCAAAAAATTTATTTGAAAATTATTGGCGCGCCAGGAACTGTGACAAAAGCCAATACCAAGATGACAAGGTAGACTTGGGCCCCAGTTTAGCTCTGCTGCTCCTTACTCATCTCCCCGTAATAATGATCACATTCAGATTTGAGGTAATGTCAGACATTTTCTGAGAATGGGTCAAAGATCCTGACTGTCTCATCTAAAACCTACTAAAAGTCTCTGGGGATCTAAGAAACCCAAGGAAATACTAAATCAGAAAAATGACCATTTAGTTTCACTTGAGTCCTTAGGGTGAAACCAGTGAATCACAGGGTGAAATCAATCAACAGTTAACACCTAATTGTTGAGTGTGTTCTTTAGATTTAGCACTACTGTTACATGCCAGTGGAGGATTTGCAGAATGCCTTAAAATAAACAAAGGATAAAATCTGGTTTAGGTCACAAGTGCCGAAGGGGTTTCAAGGTTAAAAAGAAAAAAAAAAGCTTCCTAATCAAAAATCCAGTAAAAATCCAGAGTCAAAAGCTAAACGCACAGTGCCTGCAACCTTACAATGTATCTCTAATAAATACTGTGCTTACTGGACATTTGCACGTGCTTACTAAATACCGTTAAGTAAT